CACGAAATTAACAAATCTGAGAGAGGTCCACATGTAGTACCTATAAATGTAATATAAAAGCAATCGAACTTGTGGTTTTTAACAAGAAGTCGAAAATATCACTTTTTACCAAAAATTGCAAAAATATTCATCAAAATTAGAGAATTGAAGATATCATCACAAAATGAACAAATCTGAGAGAGGTCCACATGTAGTATCTATATATGTAATATCAAAGCATTTGCACTTGCGGTTTTTAACAAGAAGTCGAAAATATCAGTTTTTACCAAAAATGACAAAAATTATCACCAAAATAAGAGAATTGAAGATATCAACATGAAATGAACAAATCTAAGAGAGGTCTACCCAAGGTACATATACACCAAGTATCAAAGCATTCAGGCTTGTAGTTTTCAAGAAGAAGTCGAAAAAGTAAAACATTGACATGGACGACGACGAACAATCACTCATATGATAAGCTCTGCTCGACAAAGTCAACAGCGGAGCTAAAAAAAGATGCCTGCCAGTCTACTATCTTTGATTTAATTGCGAAATAAATAGTCATGGACATGTAACATGTATAATCTATGTACCAAATTTGAATAAAAACTGACCAAGCATGTTCAAAATACAACATTTTCAAAAAACAAGATGGCTGCCAGTCGACTGTTTTGAATCAAATCGCTAAACCACTGCATGTGCATATGTCCCACCATAAAGTACTAGGCACATGCAAAGAATGAACGGAATCGGTCCAAGGGATTCTGAGATACGACTCCGGACAGACGGAGACTAATTTATAAGTCCCCGGGGACTAATAAATGGGGTTTTTTGGTACAACCAGAATGTCACATGTGATACCATACTATTTCAATAGCTGTGTTTGAGTGAAAGAACAACAAGTTTTCCTTGGGAGCGAACTTATTTTATTTGACAATTTACTTATTTTTAAGTCAAGTAGAAAGTAAATACACATAAATGATGAATACACAAGTAATACTCTGAAACTGTTTTCAGTTTTTTATAAATTCTAAAACAAACCCCCCCCCCCTCCCTCTTTCATTTGGAATCAAACCACTTATTGAAAATGTTCAAGTTAAATTCTTTGTATAAGGATGTCAATCATCACAAGATTTTTATAACATAAAATTATTCCGAAATATAAAAAGTGTTAACGAGTTCAAGAAAAAAACCATCCAATGTCAAAATTTGTAATGAAGCACCTGTACATTGTGAAAACGCATGGACAACGCAAACTCTTGCACAGTGGAATGAATGAAATAACAGACATGATTGGAGCGGTTTTTAAAACTACAGGATATCAGACTTAGTCACAGACATTACAAAAACATTAATATGCATGTTACTTAAATCCTCTTATCTGAGGCTTTTATCCAAATCAAAAGTCTGTATGAATTAAATAATATCTTGACAAGATAAAAATCGTGATATCACGAGGATAATTTTCTTTAGTATGGTTTAGGCCTACGGTCACGTCTATCGCCATCCATTCTGTCTCTTGGTGGTCCACCACGCCCACGATCACCACCACGTCCTCTTGGTGGGCCTCGCCCACGTCCACCAAATCCTCCACGTCCTCTGTCACCACCACGCCCTCGCCCACGTCCGCCGTCTCCTGAACAAAGACAGATTTTATGCATTAAGATGGGTTCAATGAATTGATATGTAAATTTATTGTCTATGGAACACTTCGCCCAACATTTTAGAGTTGCAACGTCAGTTGTGTGCTAGTTCATTCATACATTATGAAAAATTAGCTTGCTAATAAACATAAAAATTAACTGCAACCCTGAAACTATTTTCACTGACATTCCAAAATTGTATTAGGATTATTCTTTTTCCTGCTATATTTGCTCCATATTTTGAGGTAATTACATGTGCCATTCGTATTGTCCATACATATACATATATATATATACATATATATATACATATACATATATATATACATATACATATACATATACATATATATATACATATACATATATATATATATATATACATATATATATATATATACATATACATATATACATACATATATATATATATATATACATATATACATATATACATATATATACATATATACATATATACATATATACATATATATATATATATATCCACAATACAATACAGTATCGAGTTTATTTTCATACACCCATTATGTAATTAAATTGTGGCATGAAATCACTGCTAGAAAATTGATAGCAACATAAATCCAATTTTGATTAATGTAGTGATCTGAAAACAGACAATGAAAACTGATCTCCATTGTTTGTGCTCAATAAATCTTGCATGGAGCTTTTATCGCTGGCAATGTGTCAAGATTTATGGAGACAAAAAAGGAATATACTTACCACCCATGCCATCGGGTCTGGACGCTCCACACAGATTACACTGATGTCTCCACGCAAAGTTAGAATTCTTGCATCCACTGAAGAGAGAAAAATAATACAGCAAGTTGAGCATCATGGCAACAAACATGTTTACGTAAATACACAGACTGATACTTAGTGTATTCATTCATAAATTGTACCAGTGGCGGTGCAGAATGCCATTTTGCGCACATATACTGCTTATGCCCAAGAAGGCAAAGGAGTAATTTTTGGACCAGGACTAAATAAAACTGTCTTTGCTACGTTCTGGGAGCAAGAAGAGGAGCCTATGCAAGATTATATCACAATACAAAGACAGAAAGTGCAATACACTAGGAAATTTAAAGAGACAGGTAGAATGGGATTTTGTGTTAACTGTAGCAATTCATTTGACAACTCTGGTTCAGAGAAAAAATTAAGTTCTGGTGTCATAGTAATATTTTATTATATAATGTCATTAATATACATTCAAGAGAAAACCACGAAATCATGCTTGAATCCTGCTTTGGTCACCTATTGTTTCCATAAAATATACTGTATATATATATATATATATATATATATATATATATATATATATATATATATATAAATAAATAGTCAAACATGTGTGACCATAGTAACTATAAAGACCATCTGCTAAAGTGGCCACTTTCACAATCTCAAATGTACGAGTTGTCAATCCATAAGACAGTAATTCAACCTTCATACCAGTCAAAATCCCATGGGTGATAGATAGCTATACAGTTTTGACTGAAGATTCGAATTTCAATTAAATAACATATTTAGAATTAATTGTTAACTTACTCATTATTACATTGCCAATCACCATCTCTTGGAGCGCCACCGCCATCTCTATCACCTCTATCACCACGGAATCCACGATCACCACCGCGATCGCCTCCACGGCCACCTCGGAATCCACCACGGCCTCTATCACCTGATAAATTCAAATTTATTGAGATGAGTATAAAGCAATTACAAACGACTAATTCCAAGTTTACTAATAAATTGTTGTGAACACTTGGACTTGAACCAAGCATCCAGCTAGATTTTGAATAAATTTGTTACAGGTGCTATATAAACTATTTTCTGTTCCAAGAATATCAGAATTGTATAATGTGCAATAAAGCTTAACATACCACCACGTCCACGGCCACCACCACCACCGCCGCCGCCGCCACCACCACCACCACCACCAGGTTGCCATGCCTTTCTCTGGGCAAATTCCACTTTAATCTCTGGACCATTACCGGCCAAAGGTTTGCCTGTAAAGATGAAACGATGGGTTCATGAAAATGTGCTACTGTTGTTAATCAAGATTTCGATTAAAATTAATCACAAGTCAAAAAATATGTATGCTAACCAAAAGAAAACTTTGAAAGTAAGGTAGTTATGAACAGGTTTTTGTCTATACAGCTTGGAAACAGACAATGAATTACAACCTACCATTGAACCATTCAATTGCTGCTTTCGCTGCACTCGCATCATCATATGTGATTGTACATTCACCTTTGGGTTCACCAGTTTCTTTGTTCATATACATCCAAATCTTCGGTTTATTCGTCCGCCTATCATTCTAGATAAAAGAAACACTAATGTCAAAGTACATAATTGTACAAGTTAGAGGGTTCTTTTGTACAATTTTGGATAATACAGCTAAATTATAACCTTTTTTTTCTCTTGGGAAACCTCACATTACTGGTTAGGTCAATCATAAGTAATGTATCATTTAACTTACCTTGATCACGCCAATCTGACCAAAATGTTCAGCCAGTTGCTCTTCAGTTACTGTCTTTAACAATCCACTTACAAATACAGTGTCGTGTTGTTGCTCCATTAATGCACCTAATAAATGAGAACATCGTTTAGTAACATTACAACTACCATACTCTAATTTAGGCGTCGGGGAATAGTGGAAGGCCTTAAAAGTTGACGCGAATTGTTGAAAAGTTAGTCAAACAAAACAATGTTGGTATTACTAGCGCAATCCGGTCATGCTAGGTTTAACTTGTTCTTGAGTGGTTGCAATTGTAGATTATTGGTATGATTATAATGACATATCAAAATTAATTTGTTGGATTGTTATGAAATTCAAATGAAATCTAGCTTAGTTTCATCCTAAGCCATGTTTTTAGACAAACACTCGATGCAATACGATATTCACCATGTTTTTTTCCCTGTACACAAGTTGATGAGAAACATTTTTCGGCCTGATATTTTCAAATATCAGAGTTCAGTGACCTCGCTGAATGGCTAAGAGATTTACCAATATTGCAGTATGCTCTTGGCATTCGGGTTGGGGAAACTGCATGATTTTTTTTTAATCAGGAAATTTGTAGTAAAAATATTAATATTGAAGAAACATCAACACTTTACATTGATAAAAGCTTAGCTGAAATGAAGTTAACCCATTAGTCACAATGTATTCTTGAATAGTCGTCAATGACAGAAAAACAAAATAAAACACCAGGAAAGACTAATGTTCGAAAATAGACGTGCATGTTTTAAAAGCTTTGTTTCAATCTTTTTAAATGTAAATACCATGCAATACCATTTGTGATGAGCATTGAGCTATTGACAATTTTGTATCTGCATCTTAAGTGGGACCTTTTGTGTTAACACAATCACTGCGAATGCTATACAAGCTGATGCCAACTTACCGGAACCATATGAACCACCGCCGCCGCCGCCACTGCTACTTCCATATCCACTACCTACGGAATAATAACATAAATCATGTTTAGTTTCTAAAAATGATGCGTCAGCCAATGCATGTAGTAGTAATTGTTTCACCAGAACTAAACCAAACGTGCCCATCTGCAATGATTCAAACATTCTATTAGTTTTCGCTGCTTTTTAGCCAGAATAAATGTAAAACTAACAAAGAAGGTTGTGGTATTATTAACACTGAACAATACATCACAAATAAACATTATTTTACAGCATTTAAAACCATGTAACCCAACTGGATTCTTGTTCCCCAAATTATTAACTTTCTAGTCTATTTTTCTTCATACAAAAAACACGAATAAAAATTAAATACTTCAAGATTTTGGCGAGACCCATAATATCTGCTTCCCACCTCAGTAACATTGTTTTCATACCAGCAGCATGTACAGACACTGTATCAGTGCAACTACTACCAACTTACCTTCAACGGTTATACTGTGTGTACATGTTAACCATGCAAATTTGTAATATACGCTAACACATTAGGGTTGAAAGCAGAGGCATACCAAAGTTGTATTACACCCATTTACCGGGAATCTTTCCCAATGCTTAGTTTAACTATTTCACTAATATCTCACTTAGTTAAAAACAATACCCTTCAGTGCTGCTCTAAAAGGAAGTCATAGATGGATCCCTGCATAAAATGCAGCACCTTTTAAAATATTTGTAAAGTACACTTGATCTACACCAATATTTCAGTATATTAAGACGTGTGCAATAAAACTAGCTCAGCGCATTTTTCGTTGCGCTGTGTTTACCATCAATGTTTTCAATTCACTTGAAGTTACTAATACAAGAACAAGTTTGGTCTTGTGTTAAAAATAAATAAACCTTTGTTGTGTGCAAAACCCTAATTTGTACGACCGATTAGAAAGTTTGCTTTGAATTTACCCAACATGGACAATACAATAGTTTTTTCAGGCGGGTTGATTGTTAGTGCACATTGTACTCTAAGACATTTCAGGCACTCTGGTTTGCAATATTCAAGACTTGTTCATGACGAATCATTCGCGAGATCCTTAATTTGATTAAATTCTGACAGTTTTTAGACATTGTCTTTGTTCTTCCTTGCTCCTCGAGCATCAAATGTTCCATCATCAAGATTATTTTCAGCATTACACAAGTCTGGCCTTCAGTCTTCAATAAAATGTCCATACAGCAGAAAGTACTGCATCATTCTGAGCACGAGCCATCTATACGTCTAGAGAAACTGCCCCTGTGAACATATCGCCATTTGCAAAGCCACTTTTACTTCGTAGTCAGTAGTGTACGCATTACCTTATTACGTCATTACTAGTTTTAACTTTGTATACCCCGTCTACTTAATAGAAATATCAAATCTGTTTTAAATGTTCTATATCCCAGCATGTATTTTATAGAAAACTGATTAAATATTTTGACAATCTTTTGCTTAACGTAAAAGGAAATGCCTTTAAACTCACTAGTAACCCATTCACTGTTCAAAAATGTGTAAAAATTATTCAGAAATTATGTTTTCACTTGCTCAATTTATAGTTTACCTTAACAGAAATGTGCATGCATAAAATAATTTTTGCCTAGTGAATTCAATGTTTTAACAATACAACAACAGTCTTGTGTGCCACACGCAAGCTGCTGAATATGCATTTGAGACCAGAGACTCTTGCCATTTTATAACATAGTATCTAATACCTGTATATTAAAACATTTTGTAGACCACTTGTCTAATACCTTGTACGTTTGCGCGTGTATATTGTCCTTAAACAGCCATGTTGAGTTGTCAAGACCATCCCCTTGCATGTATTCAACAAGCATTTTTCTTTTAAAAAAATTGTACCTTTATTTAAAGTTGATCCAACTACATACAACTTGGCAATGGACACCCTTTACAACTTCCTATGAGCAGCACTGGAAAACGTTAGCATATTAGAATGATAGTGTAGTTTAAAACCCAACACTTCAATACTCTTTTCAACAAAACTACTTTCACATACTTTTTTTTTAAAATTAAAACAGCCCGCTCACTGACAGCAGTGCTAAAAACCCTGTTTTATTAAACTATGCCTTGAAATTTCAACCTAATGTGAAAACCACAGATGGTCCCCACCCCTAGTAGTTATATCGAGAACTGATTGTAGAACACTATGGGACAGACACTGTGGTAATACTACCAAAAACACTGATGTATTAACAACTGGATTATCCAGGTATGATTATTTGATAAATGAACTTACCACCAGAAAAACCCTTATTGTAGCCACCTCCACCACCTCCGCTTCTGTCACTATAGTAGGAGGGTAAATCAATAACCATTTACGTTTTCGTCGTTTAGACTTATTACAGTACAGGCGACACAATGAGACAGGCTCACTTAAGGACAAATACATGATGCGACAACTTGCTTTGATTACCACTATCCAAGGAGAATTGTAGCAAGCAACATTTTTAAGACCAAACGAGTTACAAGAATTTTATAAGTTGTATTATTCATTGGACACTACAATAACTCCTTTTCAGAGATCCATAATCTTGTATATACTCAATATGAATTCAGTTCAAGCAAGGCCAAGTGTTCTCCACATGTTCGAAACAGGGTACAAAGCCATCACCATGTTTAGGCGATCGCAAAAAAAAAAAAATTCACACTTTGAGCCAAGTTCTTAAATAATGTTTAAATCAAGTAGATGCATATTGACTTTATGGAGAATGCCAGTTGCCAGACTTTTTACTGAATCCTTATCAACTCGAAACAGTTATTTTAAGAGTAGAGTGTGCAGAGATAATGAGAACACAAATGCATAACTGATAAGGCAATTTAGACCACTCTTGGACATGGTGTAGTTTTTAAGTATTAAGGTCAGAATGGAAAATGTTCAATTTTGCTCTGGCTCAATTATTTTCTGTGTACACTCCCCACAACAATCCTGTAAAACAATTTGGTGGTTAACTATAGTAGATCACTGAAACAAAGCTCATGAAGCAAAGCTGAATGTTAAATATCACAAAGCAAGGAAATAATGACACCTGGATGGACATGACAACAAAATAACTAGCTGGATGCAAATTAATCACTAATTGGTTTAATTCACAATTTATACTAACTACAATTTTGCTAACAGGCCAATATTAATTGACTGTAGTTTATTTGACAACATATACTATATTTGTTCTTATAGTGGCATATATAAACTAAAAATTGCCGTTGTACACTGAATCCTTAAAATAATACTTTGACCACAGCAACGCCTTTAAATTGTAAAATGGATAGTGGTTAAATAATCATATACGCTACTTTTAGAGCAAATACAGTATTTAAATTTTCAAACATCTGACAATTTTTATTATCCCAAGTGAACAAAAAAAATGTTGAACAACTAAAAATGGTTACCATAAAAGTGTGCATAATATGATAACCCTCGTTAGTAGTCAGAAGCATTCCCATGTGAAAGCCAATTTGTGATTTATCATTTAAAATCAGTGACAGTTTTACCATGTGTCTTTACAACTGTACCAACATTTTCAAGAAACAAATTTTGGGATAACTTTATCTCAACCATCTGAGGTACAAATGTAAATTAGTGTCATTTTGTACAAAAAGCTACTTTGCCCAAATTGAGGATAGCTGAATTTGCAGCAATGTTGTATACACAAATATTAGCGACTGTTAGGGGTTACTCTGCTGTTCATGTCCAACCAGAGGTCATGTGAAAAAAAGTATGTCATCCTATGTCCAGTTTTGAACATAGATTGGTATTGGGATCAGCTTTGCCTCTAATTCCTTCAATTTCCATAATCTCAGTATGAGCCTGTACTGTAAAATCAGTCTTCTATAATTCATCAGACAGCGACCGGTCTTTTAGGACATTGTATGGTGGCTTAACTTGTTTTGTTGGTATACTATTTGAACCAGACAGTTACACCAAGTGTTCTGTTTTGATTGCATAATTCTTCTTAGAATGGTTCACTTCTGTATAAACAGTGGTTTGAAACTACATTGTAGTTTCTGTCTCAACACACAGATACTTGTAAAATGAATACTTATAGCCCCTTTCTTACCCCAAAGTAAATGCAGTTTTTGAACCCACATATTTCAACTAAGCATAGTAATTGATACCCATCATTTCAAGACTGGGTAACACATTTTGACAACCTTGGAAAATTACATTGTACTTAAAGTGCATACGTTAAGAACTGAAAAATAATTACACTTGTGATGATGTATCATTACCCTTTTAGAAAATTTTATCATAAATATAACACATAAAGTTGTGTAATCTCTCAAACTGTTCATCTTCCCATTTATACAATTTTGTAAACTTTATGAAACCTTGGTATTTTCCTGAATAATGCAAGGACATTACTTGTCCTTCACATACCCTTATTTAAGCCCTTATCTAAAAGTGACAATACTACAAGAAATATATTTGTTATCAAAGACTGGCCTCTTGGTTGAATCTAAGTTTATTATACTTGACATGAAGAGATAAATACTAGTGCTTGAACTTTTAAGTTGGGGCAATCATTTTCAAGGCAAAAGTTTATGAAAGTGTGTATGAATAATAAAATGAAAGATACTGTGGCTAACTCATGGCATTGATGCAACCGCATTTATGCCTCTGAACTTTAAACTCTTTAATACAATGGTTTATAGTGCAACTAGCTATGAACAAGAAAATCTGGTATTTGTGCAAGATTTGATGACTTGCCGACAAAAATATACACATGAATAACACTCACAAATTATGATAAAGGATGTGTTTACATTGATTTACACCTGATTGGCAAGAACCAGTCATTCCAATGCAAAATAATTTGCCTTGCTTTGTTGCTATTGCTAAATATGTGTTCTGGTTTTTTATCAGTGTAAATATTTGGTGATCATTGTACCAAGTCACGGTAGCAAATGTAGCACGAGTCATTCAACTTGACATATTAATATTTTGGGCAAAATGAATGCCACTGTTTTTGCTGAAGCTGCATTACAACTTTGCAAATATGTAAACATCACTCCCAGAAAGCCTAAAAATCATGCTCTAACTTCACTTATTTTATTCTGTGATTACTGGAGGGTCTTATGATGCAACTTTAATTCCCCAAAGTCAAACTACACCTCCCAACACTGGGAGTGTCTATTGATTACAAATCTAGCTCGATTTAGGTGGCTCACTTAAATTCATTCACCATCTCATATTTGATGGTGTTATATTGGTCAAGAAGTGGTACCTCTGATTTGCAATGATGGAAAGCAATGATAAAAGCGGTAACAAATAAATGTTCCTAACAACCACACATTCAATACGTAGCAGAGTTCTCCCCACACAAAAAGCAAATAAGCATCTTGGCAAAAACAATAGAGAATCACAAAATTGCACATCTACCCAACAAGTGCAGGTCTACCCACAAAACACTGTTCATCAAGCATTATAATTTTTGAAAATTACAGCATGAAAATTGAAGCCTAAACTAACCCCCCACAAGTTTTATAAATAATTACTGCTAGTAAATGTTCTGTTAGTGATAATATGAAAACCCACACTCAATACAATTCTTAAAAACCCTGTTTTATACAAATTACAATTTTTGAAAAAAAATCAATCTGTTGTGCTAGCAAAACAATATTGATTAGTTATATTATTAACACCTTAAATAACAATAGGCATGAGAAATATCAAAGATTTGCATTCCGCAATGTGATATATAACCAAATTGTGTTCTAAAACAACTCTGACTATTCCATCCATCAAATGAATATCTCAGCAGCAGTAATTCAAAAATAAGAAGACACTTACCCAAAACTACCTCTGCCTCTTCCTCCACCACGTGAACCACGATAATCTTGCTGCTGATAACCACCACCACCACCACCTGTCAAAACCAAAACAATCCAGGTTAAAGCCAAGATCATTGAGAATGTACACACATACCTGGGAGCAAAACCTTTTCTATTGTGTTCACAATGGGCACAAGACACAATGTCTGTATTGATCATCTACCACATACCAACTGGCTTGCATGGGAGAAAATGAAGTTAGGGTATAGATGTATTACATTAGTTTATGTTCCATTTTAATTCGTGACAAAATATCATGCATACACAGGCTAAGTGGATCACATAATTAATTTTTACAATTTTCAATTCCATCCCTAGCTTGCAATATACTGAACTATACACGGAGGTACAACTTGGTTAGTTTTACAAGAAAAATGCCATGTCTTCATACTGTTTCAAATTCTCACCTCAAAGCATCACATAGTTTAGCTCCAGGCAGTTTAAAAAGCAAACCAAACTTGATGTAGAATCATAAGATTATACACGAGTATTACAACTCAAATTAACACTGGTTTATTTAACACAGATGCTATTGTGGTACTAGTTGTGTATATTGCATTACTTCATAAGAAATAACTAGGGTTGCAGTGGAATGTTTTCTTAAATCAATAAATCAATGCATACCTTACTAATTAGCTACAGCTGTACACATTTCCGAGGCAATTTGATTTTTATATTTACCACATTTTCATTGAAATTTGCCATTATACCAAATTTGTAATACCACCACTTAATAAAATACATTTGTGATTTCCTCTAATTAAAGGTACAGAAATAGCAAACAATCTCAGTAATTATCTATGTATATACTAGTGTTGACAACCACAGGATAAAGACATAGTACTTGTAGACACACCTTGACTGGAACCACCATAGCCACCTAAATTACCGTACATTTGGTCCCCAGATTGTCCGTAACCACCTAGTTGAAAGAAATAGCACAAGATTTAAAAAACAGTAAAACGACACTCAGGAAATCACCCCTGGCCTGCTCACCAAGAACTATAGGAAAAGAAAGATAGCTGACACGAACAGACATGAATGTGAAAATGATCACTTTAAATATAAGGACAAGACTTCCCAAGCTGAAAAATGTTAATGGTATCTTACTACAAATTTATTTGCATCAGAATGAATACAAACAGCCAGCTATGAATAATAATGTACATTAATAAATGATGAACTGCAAAAAATACATAATTGTATACAGTATTTCAAACCAAATTTACTGAAACTAGAAGAATTGCCTGTCAACTGTCAGCATGGAACTGTGTACATTTCTAACGCATGAAGACACAAAACTGTACACCTAGGGATGGCTGTTGGAAGAAAAGTCTTGTTGGGTTAAAGTGTGTATTAATATTGGTTAATGCAGATACCATTGAGTTGGAACTACATACCAGAACTATGGTCTTGTGATTGTTGTCCACCATAACCTTGACTAGCACTTTGTCCATAACCTCCTTGAGATGCTGCTCCATAAGCTGCTTGACCATAATTCCCACTACTCACTCCACTACTTTGTTGTTGACTTTGATCCCCATATGGTTGTGCTGTTTGACCATACCCAGTGCTTGCTGATTGCCCATACATTCCTTGGGCAGTATTTTGTCCATATGCCCCACTACTTGCTGTTGCTGGTTGGCTGTACCCTGCTTGTCCTACAAAAAAGTGATAACAAAATAAGTATCAGCCAAAGCATCAGTTAGTTATGTACTTACCAGCATTAATAGAGATGTACAAGCCAGAAATTATATCATTAGTAAGATGGTCCTCATTGATTAAAAGGTTCAGTGTTATTATAGGGCAGCCAAAAAGTCACTTAAAACTATTGTATATTTATTAACATGGGTAAAATTTATGACTGTTACACAAAAGGATAAATGCATTTTTTTTCTTGAAGCTTACCATTTTTCCCTCACACTCAAAAAAATATTCTGTTTTTTGACTTGTGTTCTGGTCTACAGAAGTTACTCGTCAATTTTGGACTTGTGGAGATGCAAGACAAATACTTAAGAACAGTCTGCTTTTTGATGTAAAAATACCAAGCATGGTTGTAATCTGAATGTGCTTACCTTGTGCAGCTTGACCATATCCTTGTTGTGTTCCATAGGCTTGTGCAGGTTGAGTGTAGCCACCAGCACCTGTGGCAGTATTACCACCGGGCTGTGAATAATTTGTTCCTGCCTGAGCATATGCAGTTTGGTCATAACCAGTACTCTGTTGTGGCTGTGGTTGTTGCTGCTGTGGTTGTTGCTGCTGTTGCTGTTGACCATAAGCCTGAGAGAGATGTATATAGGTATATATATATAGGGCTACAAAGACACTGTCATTGATTTATTTACAGAATTATGTAAAATTGTGTTCAAGTGTGAACCATTTCACTCTTTCAGTGCCCGATTAAGGGGAAAGATATTTTGTCATCACAGAAAGTGTCAAGTATGTAAAGAAACAATAGCACCAACAGCAACCCAAGCTGACAAAATCAATTGTCTCTTGACAAAAGAAATTTGTTTTCATAGGAAATCAGCATAAACAAGTTTTGAACAAGCCATGTAAAAGAATTTAAAGGCAAAGTAACTTTATTTTAAGATGCTTTTTGCTTCTTGAAACTCTGCAGACTAAGACTTGCATGAACAAACATCTAGAATATATTAAAATAAATTATCATTTACCTGTGCATATCCTGTATAACCTGTAGCTTGCTGGGCATCTAGTTGTTGGTAACCAGCATACGCACTGTAATTGTGTCAGAAGACAATGAAATGAGTACACAAGTTTGCCTTTATTTGGCCATAAATCAGGAAAAACAATATTTCACAAGATGCTCTACAGTACAAAAAAGATATTCTCAGTCAAATATTATCTTTGTACCAAAATTTTGGTTTTAAACGAAAAATCAGAGTTTTCATCGTTGTATATTATTTAGATTACTTCATTGTAAGAAACTTGACCTGCTAATTTGATTTTAGGATTCTGTTGGAAAAGGTTACTACACAATCTAAAGAACCCCGCGAATATTGTAGGGTTCAGCAAGGTATAAGACACATTACACAAAGTGGGGATGCAACTATGCCAAGTAAAATTTGTTACCACCGTGATTGAGTTCAACCTTGAAATCTCAAGGACGGAGACGGATGGCACATCAAACATTACAGAAACTTGTATATAATTTACACAGCTCAAGATTGGCACAAATTGATTGAAAACAATATTCAAATTACCAAGGCCTAAATCTCAAATATACTACGGGAAAACGTTTGTCAATTTCTAATACATTTTGCCGACTTATATGTAGAAGGTATTACGGATTTTTACAGCAATGTCGATGGCAATATTTATGTTGCTACAATGAACTCGTACGTGATTTCTTACCCTGCAGCCTGCTGCTGTTGGGCACCACCATATTGGCCGTATTCTGAAATAAGAAAATACATTTTAATAAATGAAAACTGTTTATTGACTATATGATTAAAAAATCGCTGGATTCGAATAAAAACACGAATTTGTAGCTGTCTGGAAAATTACCAGGCAGCCCACGCTGATTTGAAAACACAAAAGCCCATAAATAAAGAATCGTTTTACACCAAGAATTTCGAATTATTCTATAATGAAAATAGACAAAAACATTCCAGCATATTTTCTTTTAACACTCAGAGCAAAATGTGCCGAAATTATGCGTATTTTGTGGTACTTTCGTTGAAATTTGCGAAATACTTACGTGAATCTGCTGAGGCGGACATCTTGCTTTCGAAAGCGTGACTAGTCGATCTCTGCTGGGGGTCACCTACTTCCGCTACCCGACAAGCCTTGCGAAATGACTAGGGTTTTTTACTATCCCACAATCCTTTGCGCAAACTGATCTCGGTTTGTGGTAAAACCCTCTTTTCACAGATACTAGTAACAGACAATAATACACGTTTGGATCAATTACATTTACTGTAAGCACTGAAAATAGAAAATATTTCATGACTACACTATGCACCCCATGTCTACAATCTACTTACATGACACAAAATTCAGATGCAGCCAACGAGCAATAAATTGAAATAGTCATTTCTCTGGGACAAAATATATTGTATGGTCCTTTTGAAGTATGCTTATTAATATAAAGAAAAGAGGGGAAATTAAAAGCTGTTCATAAGCTACCTTCCACCTGAAAAAAAAATTCTCCCCCTCCTGCTGACCAAATTCATCTTTACCCTGCACTCATTAAAAAAAAAAAAAAAACTTTTTTTTTTGCCTACTTCACTACCGCCAACCAGTTGAGCAAGGCTAACCGAGTCGTGACCTCGATGTGGTTCGTAACCAGTTTTGTGATTGGTTGTTGCCAAATGCTTACAGGCCACGCCTCCAAACTTTGCCGTGCGTTCGGGCAAACCGTTAGGAATTCCTAAATGAAGTCAATTTGTGTAGTTTTCTTGATTTATTCTGCAGATATCGGTAAAATGTAGGCAAGGCTTTGGCGAAATTTGAAGGAGCAACTAATATTCTTCAACCTGGTGTTTTTTTTATATTTTATTTTTTATTCTTTTCGTCTGTTTTTTCGAGTTTAAAAAATGTGAGCTGGCTGGAGCCTTCATCCCTTGTCTATTTCTTACACTAGATACCAGCCGATACCCCCCCCCCCCGCTCATAGAGACTGCGTATTACAGTTGATTATAGTTTCCGGGGTACCCTGTGTGCTCTACGAGCAGCCATTGGTTAATTAGTGGCATGAGACCTTAAAGCGTGGTGTAAGTATACGCCCTCTGAGCGGAGAGTGATACATTATGTGTCATGTAAAGAAACGTGTGCTGCGTTTTCCAGCAATTTTGTTTTATATTTTGTTTCAATCTATGTAATACCGAGCTATAAATGCCTTTGTAGAACTAAATGAGTAAACGCATAATGATATGTCATGTAACATCATGTAGTTTTATATGAAAACATCACGCAACTAACTAAGAAAGAAGAATTATTTTTGGCCACTACAAATCAACAACTGCTGCTTATTTATCATGCATACGGTGAACATCTTTACATTAAACGTGTGTGTGTTAATTTGGCAAAGCAAAAGTCAATTTGGTTCAGTATTATATGGATTTGAAAAATACGTAAACAGAATATAAAAATAGCCGTTGCATTTTATTATATATTTCGTTTGTAGCGATAAATCTGTGTGGATGCATACGTTATCAGTGACATGCACATTTAGTTCAAGTTCGTTGTGTTTATCATACGTTTCCTATATCTGTGTTATACTAAATCAAAATACGGATGTACCATTTAACGACAACTACGGACGTTTTCTTTTTAAACAACAAACCTAAGGATCATTTTAAACAAAAATAGAGCTCGGTTTTTTAAGTTCCTTCACGATAAAGACTTTTCGACATTATGAAATTCTTTCGTTTTGGGAGGGTTAAACCTAAAAACAACTGCTTTTGACAAGAAAAATCAGAAGTATATCAAAATAATTCATAACTAAATGTATTACATATGCACACCGATAATATTTTTCATAATTATTACAGAAAAATTGTTAATTCGCTATCTTTTCTAAATTTAGAGAATATATTTGTATTTGGACTTAGACTTGCTTACAAGTCTTATTGTGTTTTTGTTTGGTTTTTAAATTAAAGTATGAAGAAATGAATAAAAAGAAATCTCCGAAAACAACAAAAATGGAAAATAATTTAATGATCGCGAAAAATTATCGTTTTGTAACACTGCATTTCTTATTCTGGACCCTTTTTGGTGCTCAACCATTGGTGGGATTTGAACTCCAATACAACAACCCATACGCTACCAATACCAGTAATTTAGTTTGCAAACATTTCTATTTCGCGAATTTCTCTTTTTATGGTACGAGTATTGTACCACCCAAAACAGCAGTTATAAAGCTAGTACATTTTAATATTTCTCCATCTAGTCTAACCAGTAATATATTTTTAAAGGTGCTTGTTGATTTTCAAAGAGATTTGTCAGCTGCAGGTAATGAAAACAGAAAATGGCTTATGATTGTCTCCTTTTAGCTCAGTGTTCACAATGTACCTATACGAGGCCTATGATCTTCCGTTCATACTATGCGTGGCAGGTATAATTTTCTGTCATAAATTTGAATATACTTACATTGTAATGATTTGTTATAATGAGTTTTTATTTCAAATCAAATGAGTAAAAACTAGTGGGATATAGTGCTAGACAGACTCGAAGTCGACGCACGAAGAACCGTGATCTATTCAGTTTCTACTTAAGGTAGAACGCCACACAAAAGAAAAATCTTGTCATTTTCTATATTTTTACATATTTGATATACCATGTTACAAAGATGAAGAAAATAAATTAAAAATATGGGGTAACCGTACTCACGCAGAGAAAATCGGTCCTTTAAAATGTAGTGAAAATAAAATGTTTTGTCTGTTTTATGGCATTTGACCATTGTTTCCTATGGCAAGAATGGATGTCGATATGTGTCTTACAGGGTACTCTTTGATGTCTGTAAGTAAAAACAAATTGACATCATTTTAGTGTGTTTTTAACGAGGAAACATGTTTTTATTATGGTTTATGGGAGCCGCAGTTAAAGGGCAGTGGTTGTCGCGCTGCGCATGTGTGTTGATAAACATTGATTTTCCCACAAGCCAAAGCGCTCTTCTAATGGAAATAACAAATACATGTATGAGAGAGGTTTTACCTGAGCGCGATCCCGGGCGCGACTTGAACTTATTACAGCCGGCGACTCCTTCGATACCTTCCAACACCTAAAAATACCCCATTAAAGCTTGGTAACGTCTCAGTTTGTACTCGTTGATCTGCGCAACAGTCAAAGTCGCCATCTTTGTTTATATGAGACCTATATATTTCGCGAATGGGTGGCGCGACGACTACCGCTCTTTAAAATGCCATTTTATGCATATTATTTTACCGTTTTCTTTCGTCAAGACAGCTTGACAATGAACCAATTGACAAATTTTGACACAAAATGTTGTCACTGCTCTATGTGCTAAAATATATGCATTATTAAAAAAATCACAAGTAGCATTCTACCTTTAACACTGTAGTTTTATTTTACATTTGTAATTGTCAGCCGGGTATTGAGAATTTTTGTAAAAAGTTTTTATGGGAGGCGGAAAAAGGTACATCTAGCAACACACATCTTTGTGAAACAGTAAAACTCCAATTTCTAATTTCACTAGTCACTGTTAGAACTATGGTCAACGACAAAACAATAGTTTTTGGACATTAAGATATGAAATAGCCAGTCTCATACCAGAATATTAATTTGGTAGAATTTCAGAAAATTTCACTTTCAATAGTCTGAAATAGGCGGATGAAATTTAATTATTTTTCAATGCTAAAAAATAACTCAGGCCAAATAAGAAGAATAAACTGGGAAAGAATTTAATTTCAAAGCGGCAAAAAACTTGAAGGATTTACGCGGGGATTTACTCGGCTCAAATATAAACTATTGAGCGACACGTGGGAACCACCTGATATGTAGGTCGAAGGTCATTCCCACTTTGCTTAGCGAGGTGGTGGAGTTCCGCCATTTTCTATCGAGGGGTTCCTGTATCCGTGCCCTGACCGTGAATCATTTCCCGACGTGGGTGATCGTTGAAAGCTTGAGAGTGTGTATAGGAGACAAGTTCCTTAAATTGTTGTTCGCATTAACCCATTGGAATTAAATACTGTACTTGGCGCTTAGTATCAAATATGTCGAGACTATCCCGAAAAGGTACAACCAGTCTTGAACAGGAGCGAGAACAGTTCATCAAAAGCCAGGTAAGTCTGCCCGCTCTGATCATTTCTTGTATTAAGTATAGTTCTCAGAAAAGCGTAATGTACACTATGTAATCACGTCAATGGGCGATATAGGGTGGGTGATTCTAATACGTGTTCTTGTTTCTGTTGATCACTCAGCTGTGTTATTGTTGTGAGAGACATGTGTATTGACACTTGGCTCTTAGTGACAGTCGCTTTTTTTTATCTTAAAAAATGATTTAGTTAGTAAAGTTATTTTATTAGATTTCTTTTTCAATTCTACTAGCTTATTTTTTTTATTTGTAACACTAATAAGCGTTAGAAAAATAAATCAAGAAAGTGAAGGAAATATTTTAATAATAATAAGATAATCCCATTGAATTTGTAGACCTTTCAAGCATGTCTCTTTTTATTGTATCTAAATCTGTATTCTGTCAGACTGGAATTTATACGCACAATGACTTTACATACTGGAATACCTAAAATAGATGTAGAATACAATTAACTCGTGACAAAGCAACAAAGCTCTCACTGTATTGTGTAGTAACAAATGTTGGCTGCATGTACACTGAAATAAATCTTTTTAGAATTTCAGTCCGCCACCATCCACGGCTACTCCAAAGCTCGGGCAATCAAAATGTCCTATTTTATGAAAGATCGTACTTACTACCATAGTCCCATGATCTGTGTTTTGCGGAATAATGTGTAGACTGGTATGTAGAACAGCTTGACCTTGATTGTGGCTTCACATGTGGTGTTTACACTTGTGCTTTGTTCCTGAGAAAGTTAAACATATCCCTTTTACTGGTGTTCTTTGTTTAGTCAAAGTATTTGAATAAAATGAATAAAACAATTTCAAATTATGAAATAATTTACAAAATAAAACTGAACATATGTCTGTTTGACCATTGAGCTGAAATATTTGAAAAGAATAAATAAAAACAATTTAATATAATAAAATAATTTACAAAATGTGTCATTGTTATGAAAAAATCTAGCGCAAACGAAATTTAGAAAGTGACAGCCAATGATTAAGCACCTGCTATTGATGAGGACAA